ACGATATAATTCCTTTCAGCAAGTGAAAGTTTCCGTGACAAGTAGGCAACAGGGTGTAAAGCAGAAGAGGGATCTTTACGTTGAGAGAGAATCGTTCCAACAGCAATGTCAGAAGTGTCTACCTCTAAAAACATATTGATGAGAAGGGTCTGGTTGTTTGAGTATGGGAACGGAAATGAAGCTCTTTTAAAGTATTAAAAGCTAGATTTTATTTTTCTCCCCATTTAAAAGGGCAATCTTGTTTGGTAAGACTTGTCAATGGTGATACAATCGTTGAAAAATTTTCAATGAATTTTCTATAAAGATTTGAAAAAACAAATCTTTGACCATCTTTTTTAGTTTTAGGGATAGGCCAATCTTTTATTGCTTCTATTTTGTGGGGATCTATGCTTATAGAAGAATTAGAGATGATGTATCCCAAAAAGGGGTCGTATTCTTCTAATATAAACATTTCTCAGGTTTTGCATATAATCTATGTATCCTAAGTCTATTAAGGATCTTTTTGACATGAATTCGGTGTTCATTAAGAGTATGAGAAAAAAAATTAGAATATCATCCAAATAAATCACGATTAATTGATCTAGAAAATCTTTAAAGATGTCATGTATGAAATTTTGGAAAGAGGCAGGGGCATTACAGAGCCCAAATGGCATAACCAAATATTCAAAGTGTCCATATCTTGTACGGAAAGCAGTCTTCCATTCATCTGATCGAATTCAAATCAGATTATAAGCTCCTCTAAGATCTAATTTGGTAAACCATTTGGCATCTTTTACCCTTTCAAGAATTTCGTGTATTAGAGGGAGAGGATACCGATTCTTTATGGTTATCTTGTTCGATTTACAGTAATCAATAATAGGAGGGATTGTTTCCTCTTTATTAGTCACAAAAAATATTCCAGCTCCAGTGGGAGAGGTAGAATGTCTGATGAAACCTTTTTTGAGATTAGTATCCAAGTATTCTTTTAGAATTTTGAGTTCAGGTTCTGATAAGGGATACATATAACTGTAGTAGAACCCTCTACGAGGTCAGTAGGGCAGTCATAGGGTCTTGAAGGAGGGAGCTAAGAAGCTTATGTTTCACTAAAGACATCACTGAATTCCATGTAATGATCAGGGGTAATAGTGATTTGAGAATTTTTCATACAGGTGGAAGTACAATATTCTGAATTAAAAGTAAAGGTATTTAAGGACCAATTAATATGAGGGTTGTGCTTTTTCAGCCAAGGGAGGCCCAAAACAGCGTCAAATATAGAGGTATTAACAATGTCAAAAATTATGTCTTCAAGATGGTGATTATTAATGGTCATTTTAAGAGGGGAAGTTTGGAAACGAATAACTCCAAATTTTGAGACAGAGCCATCAAAAAGAACGATTTGAGAAGGATTTTCCTTTTGATTGGCAGGAATGTTGAAAGTATCAATGTTTTTTTGATTTAAAAATTAACCAATGGCACCAGAATCAATTACGGCATTCATTTCTATCTTTGTACCATTTAGAAGAAAATACTTAGTTGTAAAACTATTACGTTCTGGGTTAGAAACCGTGGAGCAATGAGTAGAAGAAGTTTTTTCCATCTTATTCTATTTAGAAAGGGGACAATTTGGTAATAGATGAGAAGGTGATGCACAGTACATGCATAAATTAATTTTTCTTCTGTTCCTTTCAGTTTCATATAAGGGACCTTTAATGTATCCAATTTCCATGGCTTTGTTTTTTGAGGAGTTAGGATTAGTGTCTAGATGGGGTGTTGTTGAAGAGGATTGTCTGGAAGAATTAGAAAAATAACTTTTTTCTTCTTCTTTCTCTAAACCTCCTGTCTAATTGAATAGTGAGATCAATTAATTCCCTTAAAGTCAAATAGATACACTATATACACACAAAATATGCAATAATGAAAAGTGCGTAGCGCTCAATAGTAATCACTTACTTCCCAACAGTTCTTAAGGGTATGTAAGGTGCTTGGGTAGTCCTTAATCCAATCGCAGTAAGTTCCTCAAAGAGAGCAAAAACAAAACAGGGAAAACTAGACCTGGTGGTGAAATCCTTATGGTTACAGTGCAAATTTTATACAAAAGGTGAAGATTGCTTCTCACCTGGAAAAGAGCCTGTGACCTGGCTCTAAGTGTATTAGCCCGTGAGTCCTTTTAAGGGGATGACACTTTCCCTCTTTCAGCAGGATAGAAGATATACCAAGTGTATGTAATTCAATATAGATTTATTTCGTAAACATTAAAAAAATAAAATACATACAATACACTGGTAGCTTGTCCAAAATGCGTTTCGCCAAATTCTCTCGGCTTTCTCAATTGGTAACTTCTTTCCTGCTTCATTGCGATTAAAATCCCCACCTCTCATCCTGATTGGAGTAAACAAACCGTATTCCAACCAATCACAGACATTCTTGTAAAGGAGTGTAACGGACCGTTTCAGCACACAAGGGGTTAAAACCGTTTAGGCGATATTCCCCTTTTCAGATACACAGGCACAGCTATTGCAGAACACCAAACTCCCGAACTGCATACAAGGGAATGCTCCAAACACTCGAACTGGAACCTCACGAATAGCTGCTAGCAGACGAACAGGAAAAGCACCCAAGCGGCTTACACTCCTGGCAATCAGTCTCTAACAGCATACAGTAAACCCCCCCAAAGACGAGACAAGGCTCCGTGTTGAGGGTCAAGCAGTGGTCTGTTTAATGAGTATTTATGCAGGTCTCCCACCTGGTGGACACTCCCCTAGGGGACCAAATGGGAGACTGTGACAAAGGACAGACATGAACCAATGACAGACACACAGAGGTAAAACCTCCCCACAATGCATCCGAACTTTCCTCCCTCTGTCCTGGAGATAATTGGGAAGTAATCCAATAATCTCCCAGCACAGAGGCTAAACTCCATTAACCACATGGCAGTAAAAGACATAAAAATGTATAAAGTTTCAACTGTTGCACAAAACATATACATTCTACCTATCCCCAGATAGCTCAGATCTGAGCGCACAAAAGTACCGAATAGCGCTCAGATCCTATGCACACAGTATAATCGTTGTGGAGTTAAAGTGTTCACAAAGTCTGTTCTCCATCCGAATAGACTCCACGGGATGGCTATCTGGGGTAATGCAGTTCATACGGTTTAAACTACCGAATGAACAGGCATCTGGTTAAATAAATCTTTTTTGCAGGGAAAAAAGATGTCTTTTAACATGGGGCCTTAGTCTAAAGGCAACAGGCGAGCAACCAGGCTTCTCCAATGCAATGTGGCGAGATTGCTCTCGTCACAAGGAGTATAAAAACTACAGCTGAACTGCTTTGCCCCTTGTTAGTGACGTCATCACGCACGCACTTACGATCGCGCGCGTGACGTCACTTCCGGGAACTCGAAAAAGTCCCTATTCAACACATTGTTTCATAATATCCTCTTATCCGTGACGTCATCACGCACCCAAACACGATCGTGCGCTTGGCATCACTTCAGGGAATATGAGAAGTCTCTATTCTCCACACTATATGGTGATTCCTTCTTCCTGATATGAAGTCCAACATCACTTCCTGTGGTATAAATTTGTTATCCAGTCTCCCAGTCCGTAAACCGATTCAGCCATCTTCTTAAAGGGCGTTGTATTGGCAACTTTATATCCATAATAATGTCCATGTTATTCTTAAGGCAAAATATTCATATTTAAACATAATAAAGACACAAAATAGAGAGATATACATTATTAGTTTGTAGTTAATACATTATGAAATTATTTCTAACATCCCTTCTAAAAGAATCACAATTAAGTGAAAAAATTGTTTTAATGATGATTTATCCACAAAATCTATTAAAAAATTATGTATACAGGATACATTAAGACTAAAAATCTCCAATATAAAATGAATAATACATATCAATTCAAGTAATAAGACACTAATAAAAAATTATTAATACAAAATTTTACTAATATAAATTTTAAGGAAGTGATGTTGGACTTCATATCAGGAAGAAGGAATCACCATATAGTGTGGAGAATAGAGACTTCTCATATTCCCGGAAGTGACGCCACGCACAAGATCGTGTTTGGGTGCGTGATGAAGGGATATTATGAAACAATGTGTTGAATAGGGCAGTGTTTCCCAACCCAGTCCTCAAGGCACACCTACCAGTCCAGGATTTAGGGATTACCCAGTTGTGTCTAAGGTGTTTTTTTTTCTTCTTTGTAAAAACACCTTAGACACAACTGGGTAATCCTTAAATCCTGGACTGGTAGGTGTGCCTTGAGGACTGGGTTGGGAAACACTGGAATAGGGACTTTTCGGGTTCCCGGAAGTGACGTCATGCACGCGATCGTAAGTGCGTGATGACGTCACTAACAAGGGGCAAAGCAGTTCAGCTGTAGTTTTTATACTCCATTACAAGAACGTCCGTGATTGGTTGGAATCTGGTTTGTTTTCTCCAATCAGGACGAGAGGTGGGGATTTTAATCGCAATGAAGCAGGAAAGAAGTTACCAATTGAGAAAGCCGAGAGAATTCGGCGAAACACGTTTTGGACAAGCTACCAGTGTATTGTATGTATTTTATTGTTTTTTAATGTTTATGAAATAAATCTATATTGAATTACATACACTTGGTATATCTTCTATCCTGCTGAAAGAGGGAAAGAGTCATCCCCTTAAAAGGACTCACGGACTAATACACTTAGAGCCAGGTCATAGGCTCTTTTCCAGGTGAGAAGCAATCTTCACCTTTTGTATAAAATTTGCACTGTTACCATAAGAATTTCACCACCAGGGCTAGTTTTCCCTGTTTTGTTTTTGCTCTCTTTGAGGAACTTACTGTGATTGGATTAAGGACTACCCAAGCACCTTACATACCCTTAAGAACTGTTGGGGAGTAAGTGATTACTATTGAGCGCTACGCACTTTTCATTATTGCATATTTTGTGTGTATATAGTGTATCTATTTGATTGAACTGTAATAGGATTGGAGAGTTCCTATTTTTTGTGTGAGAGCTGCTGCACTAAGAGCACTTGTTGGAATTTGTTTTAAGCGCCTTTTAACACAGATTATTTTGTAAATTCCCTTAAAGTGCTAGGAATACCAGTCCTTGCAAGTTCATCTTGGAGATTTTCAGACAACCCCAATCTATATTGGTATCTTAAAGCTGCTTCATTCCATGAAGTATCTGCAGCTAATCTACAAAAATGATAAACATATTCTTCCACATTGTTTCTCCCTTGGGTTAAAGAGTGTAATAAGGTTTCAGCAGTATCACTTTTATTTGAGTCTTCATACAATTTATTTCCTGCAGGAATAATTCAAATGAGGAGAGGCAAGGGTCAAATGACTCAATGAGTTGATAAGCCCACTTAGCAGCATCTCCCTGAAGTAAGGAAATAATGGTTTTTATTTTCACATCATCATTTCTAAAAATGCCAGGTCTCAGAGAAAACATGACTTTACATTCATGTATGAACCCCCTGTAAATAGAACGATCTCCAGATAATTTTTTAGGAGGGTATTTAGGAGGTTCAGGTTGATGGGAAAGGGTGTGCTGTTTTAAATTTTCAACTTGAGTTTGAATATCATTTAGATATGAATTGATTGAGCTAAGAGTTCAACTTGTGATTGAAGAGACTGAAACCCCTGGGTTATGTTTGTGGTTTCCATTATTTTTTAAAATAAGGTTGACAATTGCAAGGCACAATTAATCTGTCATGTTTTTTCTTTAACAAATGCCAAACAAAAAAATAAGAACCACTCACTTTTTATTTTGAGGCAGTTTCAGCACGGCAAACTGATGTGGCAGCAAAGCAGAGAGATAAACTGAAAGTCCTTGAAAATAGAAGTTTAGGTGATGTGTTCAGGGTTAGTCCATAAGCAATGTCCTTTATCCAGTCTGAGGTCGTTCAATAGGAGATCAAGCAGAATTGAAGGAAATTCCAAAAGCAGAGTCAAGGCCAGTTCGAATTAGTTAACCGGGTAATCAAAGATATAGTGGTATGAAGAGGAGACTCAGAAAGGGGTCCAATGATGAACACACAGGCTGGAGTGATCCAAATGATTAGCAAGGAAGTTGATGCAATCAGTCAGATTAACCCATTAACACATTAATTGTGCACTGTGGTATTGGAGTTTAAATAACCAAAGGGGTGTGTACTTCCATGCTGTCTTAAAGGGCCAGTAATAAATGAATAAAACTCCTGACATCCATCGTCAAAGGCCATACTTCCTGATTGTCTTCTACCATAATCGAAATTTTATAACATGACAGGAGGCTTCATATTTTGCATTAACTTTCTTTACTAACTCCATAGCAGCAAAGAAAAAAACTGTTAAAAGAAAGAACCAATCAGAGAGTATATAAGTCCAAGCATAACCATTCATTTCCTCTTCCTTTGCTGCTCCATCAAAAGTCAGGTCAGAGTACTGAATTCTGTATTTTTATGCATGTTAGGATTTTATGCTAAATCTATTTTCTGTATACTAAATCTATTGTAATTGGTATCTATTTACTGGGGGTGGCAGGGGATCCCTTCCTTTGGTGTCAACCTTGAACGATTGCCTTTAGAGGGGTTACCCCCTCTCACCTCAGACCGTCCTGAGACAGCATCATTCCATCCTCCCCCCCTCTCCTCGAGTGGCTACATTTGCCACTTTCCGACTGTTTCCCGCCGTATTCGCATTATCATCTGGGCGGGCTCCCTATTGTGTTCATACACTTCGGCACGAACGGACACAGCACCCTGCGTTAGTTTCTTTCCACTTGTTCGCACTAATATTGCGCAAACAGAGCGGCTACTCAAGGTTCATGTTTCTCTGCATGAAGGTCGGCTAATTAGGCTTACCGTTCGTGTACATTTGCATGAAAGGACCGGGTTCTTAGCAGGTCCCGCCTGTTCGTGGAATTCTCCACAGGAGCGTTCGGCAGTTTGGTTCACCAAACGAACGGCGTTTGTGAACTTTTCTGTCGAACCTGCCCAATAGCCTGGCTTTCGTGAATTTCAGCCGCGATCGCTTTTCGCGGGCATTTTCCCTGTCAGCCACCCAGGGTCTCTCGTGAGATCCGCGGCAGCCATTTTGTGGTTGCAGTTTCATAGGAGTACAACTCTCAGCAAGTTAAGGCTTTTGTTTGGAAGGATTTCCAACTTAATTGCAAAGGTGAGTTCGGATTTGGACCTATACAGGTTGGTGTCATTAACCCTGGGGAGTGGAACTGCCAGTTAGGTGTAACCTAGTAGCCTGGCAAGGGGTGAACCCCCATTTGGGAAATTCCCTAAGTGCTGCCTAATGGAAGCTGTTAAAGCAGTTCCGATCCCCTGGGTGAGCCCCAGTGTTAAGGAGTCTGATTTCAGGCCACTAAGCAATAAATATTATACAGCCGACGGCCTGTCCAAGTCCCTCCCACACGGTCCCCTCACCTCTAATACCTATACCTGTTAGTGCCCGAACTATGTAGGACACAATAAATATGAGTGACCTTCAGGCCATGATTAATGCAGTGGTAGTTTGGAGAATGCAATGGCGAAGGTACTATCAACAGCCACTGAACCTAACAAGTCGGCTGGCAAACAACGCCAAAATAAGGAAGACTCAGATGAGTTGGATGACTCCTCTAAGGAGAGAAACGCCACTGGAAGGGCGAGGAGTCCAAAAAGGCCACCACCAAAGCCAAGGTGCCACTGAAGTGCAGTAAGCACCCTATGACGATGGCTCCCACATACACGGATGAGGAAAAAAGATATGCCCCTCTCCCTCTCCATCTTGGATGAGTGGCAGACAGAGGCCTCCGACTCTGACGAAGGCGATTGGGGCTCCAACGCCTACGTCAAGGAGACTTTCCTGGGTGAGCCCCAGTGTAAAGAAGATGCGGAATCCTCCACCACAGCCACTGCGCAGGAATGAGAAATATTCCTGGATGCCACAGGGCAGAGAATGTTTGACCCCAGGAACATTCTGCACCCCCGCTCTGGGGAATGGGCCCCACCTGATCACCTCCTCAGGTTTATGCATTTTTGGATACGCAAATCCCTGGAAAAACACATACGCAAGAGGATGAGGGCAGAGTGCCCCAGACCATCACTGTCAGACAAGGTGGCTTTTACGCTGGAGTTCGATCAGATCATGCTGAAGTTTATGGAGCAAGGAGGTCACGATCCGCGCAGAAGGATCGAAAAGGGTTTTAAAGGGGTGCAAGACAAGCTCCTGGACACGATGGGGCCACTTGCCCATGTGATGTACCTGGCGGATGATGCCTACGCCAGAGCGGACTCACTTACAGCGGACATGGTGTGCGAGTGGGCACATGATATCTGAGAATGGACCCAGAGGGGTTTCTGTTATCTCGGCCAATGTGGCCCTCTCAGCAAAAACTGGCTGATCTGGGGGTAAAAGAAATGGGCCCACGGGCACAGGGCAAACTCTTGGGTGAGTCCTTTTATGAAAGAGCTAAATAAGCATGTCAACGTATTTACCTCGCTGAACAGAGCCCACACATCCATGCGCAAAGTCTTCCGAGGCAACCCTTCAAGGGGTATTTTTTCCAGGGCTGGTTGGCAACAGGGCCATGCCACCAGCCGATTCTGGCCATCAGGCCCTCGCATGGGACACCCACAGTAATTCTACCCACAATAAGGGTATCAAGATATCGGCTCTAGACAACACTACCCCTACTACCAAAGTCATTGGTACACCATGCTCCCCTGAAAGAATCCAGGCTACCAAGGATAGGCGTCCATCCAACAGCATCGGGTGTGCGTTCCCCGCTGGGTCCCTGAGTAGGTCGTCATCGTTTGGCAGTAGAATCGGGTCCTGGCAAGACAATTCGAGAAGTTCAGTGAACCAGGGTTTGCTCGGCCAGAGAGCACCTAAATACCAACATCTATGGGAAGTGGATGTCGTCTTCCCTTTCCTGAGCGACTGGCCCCGTAACAAACTATTGTCCTTAAAACAACTGACAACCAAATTCACCTTCCTATTGTGCATGGTTTCATTCTGGAGAGTATCGGTCGTCCGAGCGTTCGACAAAGTCGCCTTTTCCATCGACCCGGAGGGAGTCACATTCCATATCTCACTACGGACTAAACCCGTCTCGTCATTCTACAACTTGAACCCTCAACTTTGTGTGGTTAAGACTCTGCGGGCATATGTAGCAGAAACAGAGATGTTAAGCCCACTGACAGCACGACAACTATTGGTGTCATATGTTAACCCGTACGGTCCGGTTTCGGTCACCACACTGGCCAGATGTCAGATGCCAGATCAAATGGCTCCTCTCCCTAGCAGGTATAGACTCCTCCTTTGGAGCACACTCTGTGCGAGGGGCAGCGGCATCATCAGCTTTCCTGGCAGGCGCATTCCCTATCAGATATATTACAAACGGCAGACTGGTCCCGTGAATCGACGTTTCGTACTTTCTATTTCTGTCCATCGTCCAATGCCGCATTCGCTCTTCTACCCAAGCGTTAAAATTGCAAAATATGAAGCCTCCTGTCATCTTATAAAATTGAAGATTATGCTAGCGCAGTGTACTAATAATCTTAATTTTAATAATGACAGGAGGCAAGTATTTTCCCTCCCCTTCTTCTTGATGTTCCCACCCAAATGGAGGTAAGTTAAGGTTAATGGGTATAAGTTTGACTCCAGTATTTTACTTTATGTACTGATATATATTTATGATGGGGAGTATCATTGTCTCTTGCAATGTGGATTGATTTAGAACAATAACATCTTATGGGTAGTTGAGTATAGTCTTTGAAGAGTTTATATATACACTCATAGACATTTGCTTCATACGGTCTGTTTCGCATCACTGATACTAGTCTCTCTTTCCTTTCAGTTTAACAAGTCTTATGGATGATGGAGAAGACTGTATTCCTTACTGGTTTCCACGTTGGATTAAGTTGGATCAAGTTGAATCGGACACGTTTGTTATACTATGAACTTGTGATGTCGCATTAGTCAATAGGAAATGATTGGTTATGCTTGGACTTATATACTCTCTAACTCTCTCTGATTGGTTCTTTCTTTTAACAGTTTTTCTTTGCTGCTATGGAGTTAGTAAAGAAAGTTAAGGCAAAATACTCGCCTCCTGTCATTATTAAAATTAAGATTATTAGTACACTGCACTAGCATAATCTTCAAGTCTCTTGGCTACATTTTCTGTGCTTTTTATTTACCAATTCTTTTTGTAATAGCCTTGTTTACCTAAAAATATACATATGTGTTTAATTTATAAATTATGGTATATACCTTACATTTTATTGCTTACATTTCTACATAGACAATAAAAATAGCTTTATTATTTATTACAAGATACTGCAATTCTGTGCTTATTTTATACTTGCTTTACAGGATTATTACAAATTTGGCAATATAATGCATGAAGAAAGCTGGTATATCCATCCACATAATGCCCCATTAATTTCATATAATTTCATACATATGCATTTATTTCTTTTTAATGTTCAACCCTTTTTTTTTTTTAATTCACAGCCTTTTAAGCGCCAGACTTTTTTAAGGAGTGTAAGTATGCCTGTTGAAAACACTAGAGTACCTTCACCTCCAAATGAGCCAAAGCGCCTGATCTTACAACGGCAGACCTCAATCACACAGACCATAAAGAGGTACAGTAAATATGCAATGCTTACTTCTGCATTCTAGTAAGATAAAACATTTATTTTTAAAAAGCAGCAGACCAAGTTCTCGAAAATACTTTTTCCCTGTGTTTTTCTAAAGGAAACATGTCATGTTTGAGCGAATCAGCACTATGCCCGTGAAAGGATACCTAGCAGGCAGGAGGCCTATACGTATACGAAAGCATCAAGCTTTGTCAGCATGTTTTTGCAGGTAGCAATGCACAAGCATATGGAGTGCTGCATGAGTGTGGATTTTTTTTATTAACAAAAATATCAAAACAATTTCTAATATACACTTTCAATATATGCTCCTGTAATGGTAAATTAAGCAATTTCTTTATATTTATGAAGTTCTGAATTTCATAAATATGAAATAATACCACAAATAAAATAATAAAAGGTATACTGGTCAATCACATAAATATTAGTGAATATCTTGAATGAACAGACAAGAGGCAAAGTTTTGATGAAAGTATAAACAAAACTTTACTGGGAATACAATTATCAAGCACACAAAAAACAAATACTTTAAAAACACACACTGCTATAAACAATACATTCAGGTAAGAAATCTACTTAGCTCTATTCATGGAGATTCAGCAGCTTACACAGGATAATTGAATCAGCATAACACACAGAACAATGAGGTGAGTTCCTTGCCACATGTTAAATGGATTTACATGGGCACCTCTAAAGACACCTGGCTTCTTCCGACCCAGTCATGAAACTGAAACTCTAGTTTCTGGAAACCCCTTGAATAACCTCCCATCTAGTATCCACCCACAGAGGTAGCATAACCAATACCTAATGGTCATCTCTAGGAGGCGGATACTACATGTGGTCCTTTGTGAAAGGAAGTGACTTAAGAATTCTCAATACCTTCCTAAAGCACATGTCTCATTGACTATGCGGCAGCCATCTTTATTCACTCGACGTCACAGTGCTCACTAGGCCACCTATAGGTCACTTCCTCCCTAAAGCACATGTCTCATTAAATATGCAGCAGCCATCTTCTTGCTCTTAATGTCACATAGCTCACTACACCCCCTATAGGTATCATAAGTTATTGCACATGAATGGGAACACAATAATAGAACATTTATCATTGCCCATAACCAATACAGCTCCTTTTTACAGTTGAGATCTGTCTACTCTTTGTCCCCCAATAAAGTATCATTTAGGATAGGTGGTTCAGGATTTTGGATATGCAGATGTTCCCAATTAAATTAATCTTGATGCTTTGCTTAGGTTTCTCTCTGTCTTGAACACAAAAATTATACTGAAATCATGAGATTTTGGACAATAATGGTATAAGGTTTGTAACTAGGGCATGGATAGGCAACCTTGTGCAATATAGATGTTGTGGATTACATCTCCCATAATGTTCATACAGCCATAATGCCGGCATAGTAGTGCACAGCATCTGGAGTGTGTTCAACCCTAGGAGGAGTCAGGCATGTTTCAAGGGGGAGGGAGAATATGGCAGCTTTACTATTCAGATTTAATACTAAAACACTGCACTGCTACTGAGAATATGGTTTCACCACACCTATGCCAGCTCTGCAAGATTTTAATATTTAGGCTGAATGTCACACTGAGAAGTGAATGCTTAGCCTTGCAACAACAGTACCAATCAAAATTAGCTAAAGTAGAAGTGTTGAGAAATGAGAGACATCAAAGAGTGTCCAGGGACAGTCACTAGAGGATGGACCTGGAGAGAGACACTTGAGGACTATAGAGACTACACAACGGCAGACCTCAATCACACAGACCATAAAGAGGTACAGTAAATATGCAATGCTTACTTCTGCATTCTAGTAAGATAAAAACATTTATTTTTAAAAAGCAGCAGACCAAGTTCTCGAAAATACTTTTTCCCTGTGTTTTTCTAAAGGAAACATGTCATGTTTGAGCGAATCAGCACTATGCCTGTGAAAGGATACCTAGCAGGCAGGAGGCCTATACATATCTCGAGTTTGATCTTGAGCGCAGAAACCTGAGGATTAATGTTTCCTCAACTAACCCAGAGTTCCCATCTTGACATGCAAATGAACACAGACATGCATTGCCTTTCATTGCATTAACTTTTCAAATTCCAGCTTGAAATATGCAGGTAATGCATGACGGAAAATATTCTATGGGCACTGTGTGAAATTTTCTTGTGTTTAATGTCACCACAATCTTTTTGGGACTTTGTTATACAATATCAGAGAGACTTTAAACCAAAACCAGCACCATGCTGATGAGACCTACAAGGTTAAAACTGCAGTCCATTGCTGGTTTCTGATCACTGGTCATTTTCAAACATAGCCCATGCTATTTATGCTATTGTCAAAAATACAACAACAAAAAATCTGTGTTTAAAACTGCATCCATTGCTAAGGATATTTTCAGAAGTCTGAAACACAGTGACTGTCTGTGCTCATTTGCATGTCAAGTATGGGAACTCTGGGATAAATATGGAAACATAATTTCTCGAGTTTATGTGCCAAATTCTCTGCCAGCGCAGATTGGCATACATTGGCACGGCATACAATGATCTACTCAAGCCACCATCGGGTCCACCTTTCCCACTAGTGAAGCCTGTACTCCAGATGCCCGATGTCAGGATCTTACTGTCAGGATTACAAGTTGATCCAGCACGCAGTCCTGTGTCACACCTAGGACTAAGGATAACGTATAACCGGACCTTAGAATGGCCGAACTTAACATCTCCAAGAATAGTCAAAATACTAGCCGAGATCAGGGACACAGAATCAAACACAAAGATGAGGAAAAGCCAAAATTCAAGGATACCAGATATCAGGGAAGTCAAAACAAAGCCAAAGTCAAATACCAGAAAATCAAGATCAGGGACACACTCTCGGATAACCATATACATGAAACCATGACAGGGCAATGAGCAAGAGGATAATTCTGTTTAAGTACCCCTCCTTGGGATCCGATTGGCTGTAACCGGCCTTTGACCCCAAAGGCATTTACCAGGTGAGCATGATTGCTGCTCAGCACAAACCCACCTATGGATTTGATTGGCCATGCACATTACCTTTGACCCCAGAAGTAATTACCAGGTTTGCATGATTGCTGCTTGGCACAAATTTTCCTGTCAGGACGGTAATGTTGCTCAGCACAACTTTTCCTGGCAGGACAGTAAATGTCATTAACCACATTTTCATGTGCGGATGAATATGTGACACTTACCTGATGTGGAGTCCGACGTGCAGAGTTATACACTCACCCTTGCAAATAAACTCAGATCAAGGTGACCAGGTAAGAAGCCACCTGGGCTGTGAGACTGTGCACTGGGGGGTTGTGCAGGAATATAGCTCCAAGTCACAGTACACGAAGAGTAGTTGTGGAAAGCCGAAGTCAGGGGAAGCCAGAGGTCAGAGTAAATGAAGAAATAAGCCAAGGTCAGAAGCCCTCTCTTGAACACTGGATCAAGATACACAATAACAGGAACCAGAGTCAATGAACTGATAGTGCCCTCAGAGAGAGGCAGTGTTTTATACCTGGCTAATTAGCGATATGCTTCAGGTGGACGAAGATTGATAGGAGCAGCCACAGGAAAAGTCCAGCCCCCAGTGCTGGAGACAAGGCAAGGAGAAACATGAGGCTGAAACAAGAACTGAAGTGTGGCTCAGAGGCAAAACAGCTGGCCCAGGACACAGAAGGATCCAGGTTCATATCCCCTGATGGGCACTTCTGTGGTAACCACATCTGGCCATCTGGATGTCACGGTGAGAATCAAGGCACCTGATTTATCATTGAATCAGGACATTTGTTTCCCTCTATGAGACTTATTACATATACGTGGTGATGACAGGCACCGTTCCTTAAAACATATAGTGGGTGGCGCACACTGTGAAAAAATGCAAACTTTACATAGTGAAATGGTGAGTTTAATACGTATAGGATGGTATAAATACCCTTATGTATATTCTTTATCATATACAGCTGTAAAAAAATGTTGGCTGACATAGGGTAATATAGTTTGATCAATATATAAAGTGCAAATGTAGGATATGTGCCAATATCTCACTCACATTTTACTGAGCCTGTGAAACACTGGCTCAAGTAAATCAGTGTAGATTAGACACAGTCCAATGGATATGTTCTCCACCATATATGAGAGAATATGATAAAATCTGAAGTCAAAAAGACATCAATTTATTAACAAAAAATTCATAAAAGTTCTTACATCAATGTAAGGTGACTTCAGCAAAGAATATTTCCTATTGAGTCCACACACACACAACGCGTTTCAACTTAAAAATCTTCCTCAGGTGTATAGGATTTCCCTCCCTTCCACTGTTTAAATATTCAAATTTGGTGCCATCTCGGCAGTATAGCACATCAATAGTCTTCCTGGTGTCTCACCCTCACACAGGAAATCCTATTGCGGACATATTGCAGGACCATCTTCTGAAATCATATCA